GTATAGCACCATATAAAAACTGACATAACCCCAAAAGTTACACGATGAAAATGAGCAAATTCGAGGTCATAGTATTAATGCCGTATCCAAACTTCGCACCTGCGCTAGACGACAAAGATCGGCATACGTGGGGCACGAATTAGAAGCGCGCTATAACAGCAGGGGGACAGGGTGGTATCGATTTTGGATGAGGAACTGGACTAGAGACATGCAATGCTTAATATCTATTCCAGATAACCTTTTGGTATTGCGCGTTTTGATATATCTGAAATTAAATTAGAATATACTCGTAACGTGTTTACTTTGTATCATCTGCTATGTTGATGAATGAACGTATGTTAGTTAAAATTAAATGTAATCTTCTCTAATAAATCTTATTTCAGTGGTTTTTATTGAAAATGTAAAAAGATTGATGAACCTATAATATATCTGTATTTAGTTCGTATAATAATTATTCTGTGATGCATATTTGTTATCACACAAACAGATCTACATTTTGAAATTTTTATACTGTACTATAGTAGTAAAATATAACATACTAACGGCTAATCCTCGCTTTGCTCGGGTCTGTCCCTAGTGAAAAACTAAAACAAATCTATCCCACGGGAACCGTGCATTTTTTTCGGGATAAAAAGTTACATATGTGTTATTCCAGACTATAATCTATCTCTGTGCCAAATTTCATCTAGATCCGTTTAGCCGTTTTGGCGTGATTGAGTAACAAATATCCATCAATCCAAACTTTCGCATTAACATAAATAGTACGTAAGATTTCAACGTAATTTAGGTAATACTTTATTACGATAAATTTTATTTTAATTTTTCGTTTATTCGTTTCCATAAACATTTTTTTAATATTTTTAAGCCAAACATTTGCCTATCGAAAATAACACTTCTATTTCCAAGCGTTTCTATTAACTGTCATATCAATATCGTTTCAAGTTCTAATAAATAAAAACTTTTTAACAAAAAAATAAAAACCGACTTCAAACAAAAGCACTAAAAAGTAATAAAAAAAAAAAAAAAAAACATACAGTCGAATAAAACGCAATTCATCATGTACACTGCTAAAACTAAAAATTGGTAAACTTTTTTAGTATTTGAAACAAAATATATTATATCGAGTCTCCTACTGCTAAACTGAGCTGTAAGGTTAGCTTATTCATTTTGCTTCTAGCTTGTTTTGGATTCGTTAATCTTATTATACCTATGGCGATCTCTTTACTCAATGTATGTATGTCCTTGTTTTATATAAATATGTTCAGCAGTATAAGCGCGAAAGAAACAGACGGACAGATTCACTTTGACATTTGCTATATTAAAATTAATACGGTTAGTATCAACTTTATTAGAAAGGTTGTTTATACGTAAAAAACTTTATGGTTCTAATGTTGTTTCTTATTTAGCTTAGCTATAATAACAACATTTGTTTGTAGACGTTTGTTTGCATAAGTGTGGAGGATCTTATTTTGTGTTAAATTTTTTATTGGATAATTATGTTCTACGATATTTACTTTTATTGAGGTTCTAAAATCTTTTTTTACGAATAGAATTTATTCCGATTTTACTAAAAAAAATATTACATGAAAGTTTATTTTTATGTTGATGTAAATTTTATTTAAAACATCATCATTATATCTTACATTATTTAATTATATTATATATAATACTTTTGCTATTATATCATGAAACCAAATGAACAGGGAAAAATAAAAGGAGAAAAATATATTAGCCGCTGTCACTCAGCCTATAACTATATCTATGTAAAATCACGCCGATTAGTTGCTACGCGTATGTAACAGAAAGACAGAGTTCTTGTACACTTTCTCATTTATATCATGAAAGTAGTAAAATATATATAACATTTTCTAGCTCCTCGCATTTTCCCTTATGATCTTTATCATATATATATATTTAGTTATTAAGTCTTTCTGTATAGAAAGTCTCAGTAACAGCCCGGAGTTGGGAAGTTGGCGGTGTTTCACCCCCGTGCCTCGGAGAGCACGTAAAGCCGTCGGTCCTGCGCCTTAACTCTCACCGGTCGTGTCGAGTGGTCGTCCCACCGGATATATATATATATATATATATATATATATATATATATATATATATTATCATATATATCATATATATATATATATATGTCTATACAAAGAAACATTATTTTATGCCTATAAAAAACTGTATTTAAAATTCTATAACAGAAAAAATTGTAGCTATATCTTATGTCACTACATTATATAGACGTATAGATATAGATTAATAGAGATAGAGATAGAGAGATAGATAAAGATTAATTTAATAATTACTATGTTAAAATTCATAAAACAAAAAAGGTTTCCATTTAAAGACATACGCTTACATACATACACTCGAAAACTCTCCTTTAAAAACAATTGGTTAACAAAATTGTTAAAGGAAGTTCTATGGTTAAAATATTTGCATAGTGAAGATATTGAACCCGCGAATTTTAGCCAAAAAGCGATTGCCAATGACATAAATAGAGTCACGAGATAAAACAAATCTATAATATAGTAACTTATTTAAGCACGATACGTATCAAGATAGTGAATTACGAATTTGTTGCGTGTTTAAACGTAATCAACCGTCTGTTCAACGCTAAATGTTGTGTAAAACAAGCTTATTATAACTATAAACTATTACTTTTTTATCAAATAGCTATGGTACAGCAAGTAAACGACACTTCTTACAATTAATTGTAGTGCTGTAGAGTCTAAGAATACGTATGTTTGCTTTTATATACATTTTAAAGAAAACGAGCTAAAATAAAGCTTTTTCCTATTTGCATTTTAAGGCATTCTTAAGTGAGTAGGCATTGTAATAAAAAATCTTAGTCTATCATCATGTTGTAATCTTTTAAAGAAATAGGTACATAGGGATTTAAAATGTACGCATTTATCTTATAAATAATTATAAAATTACTTTAAATTAATACTTCAAACTGTCTAATTATATAGCACGCTATGTTTTGACAATTTAATATCAATAAAGGAGAATTTGCAAATGCACAATCCGACCAAATAAATTCGCCATACAGCCCGACCACCTTTAAAAAGGGCAAGACGTCTTTCGAATAAGTCGGTTAGCATTTGAAACATCGACCTCAAAAACTTATTACAATACGGCCCTACCCTGCTCATTATCTCTGGCCATAGCAGTGAATCGATACCAAAACACACGCAAACTATTTTACACACACAAGCGCATTCTAAACGAAAGTACGCTTACTCGTAACCGGCGCGTCAACTTAAAACTTAATTATAATTAATTAATTCCAATTGGTCCCCGTCTCTGTCATACTCGTATTGTCTTGGATAGCGCCATCCCGCTCCAACATAGAGACGAGGGGTAGAAACGCGGTATTGTGTTTTCGAAGACCTTTTATCGCGGAGGCATTTCACGAAGTGGAGCATTCGTCGGTTCGATTCCTTTCGGAATTTATTAGCACTTAGATTTTAATTGGACTTCTATTGAGTGAGCTTTTCCGAATATTCTAAGTACTTATAGTTAGGTAAAAACTGAGATTCGTTAAAATTAAACGTCGTTTTATTTTTTATATTTTATTTTTAATATTCATTCGATATAAATAATAAAATAGTTCGATTTCTAAAACTTTAAAAGGTCGGCTTGCTTTCCTTAACGCAAAATATTGATACATACATATTTTAAAATTATTTAGCGCTTCGGCTGTGTACCTATATTTATTAATCTAAATTTTCAAATCGGAACAAAATGGCTGTCGTTGAACGGCGGATAATTTAATTGTAATCATCACTACATCGAGCGGTGACGAGTATCAATGAGGATGCGACTGAGGGTCCTTTCCACCCTCTCCCATCCGCCCAAGAAGGGGTTGCGCCCCCCTCATTACCATATTTCATTTACTCAACGAAATTATGCTAATTACTTATATTGCTTTGTGTAAAAAGGAAATTTATAAGGATTAAAGTTACTCCCTCACCGCCTTAAACCGGTTCGATCCGGCTCGAACTAGTTGCAGCAAGTTTTAAGATGAATTATTTAAGAGGTTCAAAAAAGTTCCGAGGGCACCCGCGCTCCGCGATCGCGATTATAATCGGACGCAATTAAAATTCAAATTGGGGGATTTTTAATTTTGTTATTGATGACCTCCCGTCCCGTCCCGCGGTCCGATTGGATTGCACGTTGTTAAAACTTCCCCGAGAACTGTGATTCTTCTTCGTAATTCACTTATTTATATTAAGGAGTGCTTTACTCAAAATTAAACTGCTTGATTGAATTTCATAAACCTGTTTCCCAAAAAAGTATAAACTTCGTAGCGGTTTCTTTGTGGCATTAATTATGTTAATAGATTTTTAATACTGATATTGCTGTGTCGATACTTCAATGTCGTATAATAATTGTAAATGCCAATAAAGATAATTGACTTAAAGTTATTTGGTCAAATAATTATAGGTTAGGTTCATAACAAATTGTTTCAACTACCCCGTAATACTAAAAGTCCTTCGTAATTTTAAAATATCACAACAGTATTATAATATATACCAATTACTATGAAAACTCCATTACAATTAAAATAGTAGTAAACTTGTGACTTTCTTTACATGGTTATAGTATTAAATAGTATAACAAAATACGAACGTCATTTAACTTCATATCGTATTCAAGCAAGCCTTTGCAATATCCATTATTAACTGTCTTAATGATTCATACTATAATATATAGGTAAAGGCGTATATTATATAGCACAATATAAATTATATCGTTCGAATTGAATTATAGTAATGAAATACGGAGTCGCTTTGGGCAAAGAGAGACCCCGGTCGCTAGTTTCACAACTTATCCCGGCTAAGGCGACTCCTTATTTAAATGTAAATTAGGTTCATTTCACGAAATTAATGTCGTAGAGTTTCACCCCCAATGTAGAGTGACCATAAGTCATGCCCTTTTTCGGAGAAACTTATTCAATGTACGCGTTGACAGTTATCAACTTATGTTTATGATCCGTGCGTGTACATGAATAAAGCTTCTTCAATCATTTTCTTGTTGCCCATCTGCGTAATCGTTTCTTGTCTTTTATTATCTACTTTGTATAAACCGGCTAAGAGGTAATGGGTTGTTAAATGATATGATCTCCCTCTTAAAATTGTCGAATTATGCGGTGGCAGAAATAAAGAATAGTTTAACTGCCTCGGTGGTGTAGTGGCTAGCAAGTACGGCTGTACACCCGGAGGTCCTGGGTTCGAGTCCCGGGTCGGGCCAAGTTTAGTTATTGAGTCTTTCTGTATAGTAAGCCTCAGTAACAGCCCGGAGTTGGGAAGTTGGCGGTGTTTCACCCACGTGCCTCGGAGAGCACGTAGAGCCGTCGGTCCTGCGCCTTGACTCTCACTGGTCGTGTCGAGTGGTCGTCCCACCAGAGTATGAGAGTGACAGGAATAGAGAGTGCACGTTGTGTCTGCGCGTATACTTGTGCACTATAATATCTCCTGCGCAGTTGGCTAGTCTCAATGAGATTGGTCGCCGTGGCCGGAATCGGTCGGGAGAACATCTTAAAAGAATAGTTGTAAGTAATGCTTAGTGCTCAAGTACATTAGTCAAAGCATTTATAATTACGGACGTCTATTCCACGACTAGAATGCAAGTCATAATATTATGATTGATTTCTTTTAAATAATACAAATAATTTAAATATTATAAAAATTTTGATTAACTTATCCTCCAAGATCCAAAACGTATGTCACCCTTTTTGGACGAAGTAATGGCCGCTCTATGATTATATGGACAGACGAGTCATTACTCCTGTGTAAGTGTTGTTGCGAATTGCTAATGTTGTGCTTTCAGAATTTTACACAAATTAATTGTTGCTTTAAGCACGTTTTCACACTAAGAAACAACTTTGTGTAAACCATATGCCAAGAGAAAGTAGGTTTAACTTCAAAGAAGTTCAGAAGTTAGATCAATAACAAACCACTCAGTAAATATTTATCAGATACTATAATATTTCTATATGGTTTTATGAGTATTAGTAGTTCTTAGATAAATTAAAAGATCAATTGGTGCTTATAGGCTGATATAAACACGTACAAATTTCCCAGGATCTCATCTTACAATAAGTCACAATACGTACCTTCTTCTTCTTCTTCTCCCTGCCCGTTTCCCAAATCACTTGGGGTTGGTGCAGTACATCTTCAGTGTACTGCTGATAGGATTTGGCAAAAGTTTTACGACCGGCCGCCTGCCTGACGTCAACCCTCCTTGAGAATGCTATTGTCTTTCTTTGTCTGAATGGTGTTAAATATTATGCACTTTCGATTTTGTTGTGTTTTAAAACATTTTTTATACTATTAATTCAATTATTAATGTTATTTTTGGATATATTTTAAAATAAATTTCGATTACACAATAAATTTTGTATTGACATTGTCAAATTTTTTCTTCTATTAATACGTACCATTACCCTATTTCTAAAACCTTATGATGATTACATACATTAAGCTCTAATTCATTGCTTTTACTTTTCCGCAACAAAGCAATAATTTATTTCAGCGAAATCGCAACTAAAATAGAAATTATAATCGCGATACGATCGCGATCACTTCGCAAAAGGGTTGCTACTACACGCACACACCCACACAAGCGTGTAAATTAACACAAGGCAACTACTTAGCATTTTCAAATTAAATACACTAATCACTTGTATAAACGTGTATAGGCTGGATCGATAGTGTCTGTGTGCGAGTGATTATAATGAAGGGTAGAAGGGCGAAATAAAGTGGCTCCATTCGAGCGCCCCCCGCTTGTTGATGTCTTTCACTTCATAGGTTGTTACCAATTCCTGGACGAATGTTTTTGAAATATATCAAAATAACACCTCATGTCGGTCATCTGGTGTAGATAGGGTTGTTCTGGTTGATATACCAGGAGGTGATGACATGTCTTACTGTGGAACATGTCTTGGGTATTGTCAAATTGTCTCTAACAGTGCACATTGCGTGTATTATAAATTGTGATCAATTTCATTAACATATTATTTTAACTTCTGCATGTGTATATTTGTGTAAATCATCGTCTTGGTTAGATATTAGTAAATCATTCACAACTTTAAAATGACTTATAAACTTTATATACAATACATATTTTGAAACCTAAATATTTTAAACGCTCACCTTAAAGTGGCCTCAATTCAAGTTATCTAAAGCACTTTATGTACAGATTTGTAAATGTACATAACTTTACTATACCTATACTTTTTTTTGAAATATATGAAGCGATACTTATTAATTTCGCAACAACTTCAGCTTCACACACCACACAATCAAGTGGTTTTATTGCACCTTTTCCAATGTACTTGAGCACAATGAAAAGGTACAAACAAGTTCGATTGGTACAGCATTAAAAAAAACTCACGCGATATCACGTCGATCGATTAATTAGCGTATTACATACTGCCGATCCATCTGTCGTAATTAGCCGATCCCTCGGCAAAAAATAATGACGCTCCCTAAAACACTTTCTACTTTTTTTTTCATTTTTAATCCAATTTGCCGAGGATTATGTTGGTAATTATATTTTTCCGATTGCCGCCCGTGGCTGTGGAAACTCGCTCGCTTGATTGCAAACCGAAAAATCCATGTTGATTAGGCTTTTTAACTGCGATTGTGTGAGTGTGTCGTGTAAGATTGTGAGAATTTGATAAATGTTGTTTTGGTAACGACTGCGTAATGTCCCACAATGTACATGCTATCAAAAATTATATTTAACTTGTAGTATTAGTTACGATTATACTTTGAATTAACTAAGGGTCGAGTTTTTGCCAGAGATCGATCTAAACTGTCGCTAAAGAATCTATGATTAAAATATATTAAGAGTTTAAAGCTAAAATGGATTATTGTTACGTCATATAATAACAAATAAGAAATGACATGATCTATTAAATAAGACATAGCTAAATTTCAACAAAAATGAGCGACAAGAAGTGCTAGTTCCTAAGTAAGCAAGTTTAATTTCATGCTTAATATATTTTGTTAAAAGTTCTACTATTTATAAAGTTACATTTTTGTATGAAATAATGAGTAATACTTTAATGATACTAGCGACTCGCCCTCGCTTCGCTTCGGGTTCGTCCCTAGACAAAACAAATCTATCCCACGGGAACCGTACATTTTTCCGGGATAAATGGTAACCTATGTACTATTTTAGACTATAATCTATCTATGTGTCAAATTTCATCCAGATCCATTTATCCATTCTGGCGTGAAAGAGTAACAAACAGCCAACCATCCATCCATCCCTCCATCCATCTATCCTCACAAACTTTCACATTTATAATATTAGCATGGATGTTTAATTCCATTATATGTTTTATATGTTGGGACATTAACACACAGCACCATCTAATTCCAAGGTAAGCACAAAGCTTGTGTTATGGATACCAGATGGTTGATACACTACATATGTATAACTTTAAATAAATACACATTATAAATATAAACACCCATGACTAGAGTACAAACATTCGTGCTCATTACACAAATGAATGCCCCCACCGGGACTCGAACCTGCGACCGCTGGCACAGCAAGTACGGTTACTACAAACTGAGCCAAACGCGTCGTCAAAATTACTATATTTAATCACCATTAATAACCAATATTACTTATTACATAATATAGAAATGATATGAAAAGAAATAATTCAGAAATAATATTAACACTATTCGTATCGATTATTTAAAATATTCTGAAAGGGTGTTGAAGTTGATATTATGCAAGAACATTGGGGTGGCAGTCATTTTAAATGATTCAGCTAATCTTTCCAACATCGTTCGATGTAATTCTTGACGGATGTCTTTTTTAAATTTTCTATTTAATAAAGGGACAATGTTAATGATCTCATTAATTTGTTTAAATTGTTCTGAAATTGGTTTAAGGATTAAAATAGCAAGATATGCTTAAGCAGTATTAAAAGTGTTTGTAATTTTCTGGTGTATGAATGACATATGTACATAAGATGTATATTTATATATATATATATATATATATATATATATATATATATATATATATATATATATATATATATATATATAGGTAAAATCTAGTATGTGATATATTAAATGTTTAATTTTAAACTATTGATATAAATATATTGAGTTTGACCATAACATCCAAAAATGAAAAGATGACCCCTACAACTAAATCACAATATAGTTAATTCGATAAAACCCGGCTACGTCAAAAAGCTCGCCCTCGTAGTAGGGGGCCTAATCAGCAACGGGGCGATAGCAAGTAACATTAACGTCCACTCGCACTTATGAATTAAAATACGTTCGAATGCATAACATTTCCAGTTTTCTCTTGTAATTATACCAACTTAACTGTGATTATTTCATTTGTTTGTACTATTCAAAGATCGTGGTATGCTAAATTTGCTTTTCTCAAAATTTAAATTTGTTAGTTTTTTAAAAGTAAGTATGTAATTAATATTTATTTTTTTCGTCAGATTCTTCAGGTTAAAAACGGAAATGATATCATTAATTGTTGGCAAGTTTAATAATAAATAAGAATTTAGTATTTACATTACTTAAAGTAATATATTTAAGCTCCATATCGCCATATATATAATACTAGCGACTCACCCTCGTTTCGCTCGGGTTCGTCCCTACTTACGTTTTAACGTACCCTATGTCGTTCCCAGGGTCTCAAACTATCTTCTTACCAAATTTCATCTAAATCGATTCAGTAGATCCAGAGATTACCCTCTACAACGTCACAAATTCACAATCTCACAAACTTTACCTCTTTATAATATTAGTATAGATGAAGAATAGAAAAATATAATTCGCTATTAGTAGCGTTCAATTTTCCCCATCACAATTCCTTTATCACAAGGCAAATTTTCTTTCACAAACACAAACTGCACCATACGTATGTATACTTAAAAGCCAGCTATCTATTTCTATACAGTGCGTACGTAACGTAATGCTAACGTGTGTACAGTTGTAAGCAACAATGGAACAAACGAGTGAGCAGCCGAGGCGATCTGGCCCGCATGCTTAGCGCCATTAAGCGCACCACTAATGAGAGCTCATGACTGCACTAATGCTATATGAAATAAGGCAGCTTGCACACTGCGTGTCGCAATAATAAACTGCAATAAGTGTAGATGCTGCCTAAAATAGAGAATTTTATACTTAAGGTATTTGTGATTTGTTTCATTATTTTCTTTGTTTTTAAAATCGAAGAAAATAATTATTTCAATTATAATGTTATTATGACTTTGTGCAAAGTATAGTTTATTTATAGTTTATAACCTTGTTATAATCATCCGAATGTTTCAGGTTTGAATGTGGTGAAAGCTAGATTAAAGTGAATTATTCTTAGTAGGATCTCCTTAAAAACACCTAATGTCTTTTAAATATATGTTTTTTTTTATTAGAAATGGGCTCACTCTTGACCTTCATCTTAGCTCGAAGGCACAGATAAGGTTTACGATCTAGCGAGTTTGCCCAGAAGAAGCCTGTAAAAACTTAACATCATATTTCATTAGAA